ACATACATAAACCTCAACGAATTAAATTCAATAAGATTTATCAGTTATTAAGTTTAATCTGCAGTCCCATTCTTCCGTTTTTCAGTTTTTAATGATATTAAAGATGTATGTCAACGTCATAGTTATTCAACAATCGCTAGGTGAGTGCTTACCAATTAATTCAATAGCACATAAAGTGCCACTTCCTTTTGCATCTTTGAACAATTTCGATTAAAAAAAAAAAAAACAAAAAAAATTAAATGGCGGTGTGCCTAGTAGAATTGTATAACGGTATCAATTCGCGCATCACTGGTGAAATTAATCCATCATGTGGTCTGTTTGCATCTTGAACTAAGTAGTACGTTGATACCAGCGCCAAGAGGAATGAAAACAACAGCAACGACGTCGACGCTAATGATAAATAGAAAGCAGGACCAATTTCTTGCTAAAAATTAAAATTATCCCGAAATTCACTCAGCCTTGTAAAATTTGAATTCGAGAAGATGAAAATTCCAATTGTGACTTTATCGATAAATAGAAAATGCGAACTGTAATGTACGGGTACAGCATAGTGAATGCAGGAAACATAACAGATCAGCTAGCCTCGAGGTTCGAATTAAAATAACACAGTTGAGCGGTTCTCATCAACAATTTAATTTTAAAACAAAGCAGTGTAATAGCAACTAACCTCGTAAGTACCAACAAGTCCATGTACAAATCGACTGTCAACTCGGTGTGCAGCGAAGAAGAATGTCGCATTTGCAATAATCGAGAAAAGTACTGCAATAGTAAGTAAATCTTTTACAACTCAAGAGATGCAAGAGAGTCGGCATAATCCAAGTATCCAGTTTCGACCGTTCTTTGACTGTGACTTTTAGACGCGGTTTACGCAGACCTTCTATGTAGCGTCACGTTTATGACTACGACTTTCTGAGGATCGCCCGACCTTACTCGATGATTAGCGACCAAATAAAATGAAAAAGAGTAAAAGTATGAAGAATAAAATAAAATAAATACGAACATGCGATAAAGATGAGAATAGTGAAGAAAACAGCAATGGGATTACTGCACGGTGCACAAATGCCACACAACAGCGACAGTCCACTGAATGCAAAGACCACAGTGAAGCATATTAACACTGCCTTCTGCCAACCTACAACAGTATCAGTACGGAATTATTAACAATGGTAAAGTCTTCAATATCTCATTCTAAATGAAAAAAAAAAGCAATATAATGAACGAAACTACCAAAAAATTGATGATGCTCAGCTTCACCAGCAGCACTATTCTGATTTATATCCAGTAGATTCTCATCAATAATCTCTCGAGCATTGTGATCAAATTTATATGTGCAAAAAAAAGTAGTATGCTGCAGTTCCTTGTATTCTTTACTGTTTACTGTGTGTGAATGATAGTATGGACGAGTACAGTCTTGCCATAAACCGTGCTGCAAACACATCGTATCATCAGTAAAAAGATAAAAAAAGCGGGAAGAAATAAGCGGAGATAAATAAAGCAGTAAAGGCTTTTACATGATGTTGTGCACGGAATTCGCGTATAACGACCACTTGCCATGAAGGCGAGAGGACGGCAATGATAGATGTACCCAAAGCAATAAAGAGTAGGACCAAAGAACCAATTAGTACTGCCTTCTGTGCCCGATGTCCAGCATTGCCCATATTTCTGAAGTCAGTAAAAATATAAAGAGCAAATCTTTAACTTTAATTTTAACGTGAGTGTTTATCAAACACAGATTTTTCTTCAATAATTCGAACCGTTTATTATTCATTGTGTGGCTACAGTGTATGAATGGACATTTCTGAAAAAGTCGAAACCACTTTGCACCACTTCAGACAGTTACCGACAATCCAATACGACCTAATTAAGTGAAATGGCTTGCTGACAAAAAATGTTAGCCTGAAGAAGACCAGTCAGTTTCTCGTGAGTATTTGAGTTTTTTGCTTTCAATCTAAATAAAATACGTGTTTGATTTGATCGATAGTTTCTTTAATAAAGTAAATAAAGAACCGTATTCTACAGCACAGTGAGAATGAAGTATAACTTTCATTAAACAGTTACGACAAATGACTAAAAGATATCAGTACCTCTGGATAAATATCGTTTGACGAAAAATTGCAATTCAGCTGCTATTCCTTTGAAAGTTCGTTCTTGATCAGCCAAGCATTATCATTTATGGGCAGAATTCCATCTCCTATTTCATATATATTTCATCGCCTGAAACAATATCGGTCTATTTAATGCTCTGTTGAGTTATAGTTCTCCAGCTATCGTATCATCGTACGGTAGCAGACATTACTGATGTTATTTATGCATGCTTTTGCCAAAAGATTAAACGACGGAATCCAATGTTTAATCTTTTGGTAGGCTCTTCGTTAGTTTATTCGGAAATTAAACATTGACATAATGATACAATGGTTGAATTTTCATGCGAATTGTAGCAGGATGTGAGTGCACCTCGCTAATGACACAATGCTGGGAGGGTAGTTGACTGGAGTTCCAAGAGAAGGGTGGTGTCATCGCCAAGGACCACAAACGGGTTGCGCACACATTACCTGCAACAAATATGTGATAGACTTACTGCATGCATACACACTATGACTCTTCAGACGTTAGTTTGTTATAGGCAATTTTATCACAAGGCATGCACAAGCGTACGGAAGAAGGGCGTAAACAAAGGCGACACACTGACCATCTGGACAGCACAATAAACACTGCGGAGTGGCAAAGCTATCGACAACCTTCGGAGTACCCGAAAAGTTCAAACATCGCTAACTACTATGAGCATTTGAAAATGAGAATGCGCAACACACTTTCGAAATTCACAGGTCGTAAAGATGGTGGTAGGAGTTAAATTTAAACTAATCCTTGCAGGTGACCTTCCAAATGAATATGTGATATAAAATCTCAACATATTATTATATAGAAGATCAGAACTGCAACTGAAAACTTCCAATGGACTCAATCAACAGCCGCAACAGCTTCCAAATTTTTTTATTATTAACAGTAATTGATTATAACAGTTGACATTAACAGTATTGTAAGAGATACCAATGAAACATTCGAGGTGAATTTCCAATCCGATAGGTAGATAAGTAAAAAAAGACGAAATCGTTGATCGATGTGTTGACATTCAGTACAAAACAGTCCATCAGTGCATCGAAGACAACAATAATGTTAAGAATAACTCTGAAAAGTACTTCGCTCAGTTGATTAATTAATGAACATGTTAATGATCAATCATTAAAATTGCAACAGTCAAGTCAACGTCTCTCTCTCTCTCTCATTCTCCTTTCTCTCTTCCAAAAACAGAAGAGCTGACTTGAAAATATCAAATTTGAATAATTAAATCGAATAGTTTACAAGTAGTGCACATGCACAAGTACTTCAGAAAATTCCTAGATATGTGGATGTGAGAGATAGCTAAATATGTGCAGGTGCAGGTGCAGGAGTGCAATCAGGAGGTAAAGTAGGGAAAGGAAGACATGAAAGTTCGTGAATGATTATTGCATCTATCAGCGGCACAAAATTTATAGATTGCCAAATAATCAGCTTTTGAACTATCCCACGAAAGAAAGAAATAGATTACAAAGGTGTTAGTCGATGATTCAGTCCTTACAGTATCCCAGTATTTTCTGCATAACGAAAATGGGATGATTGAAGATCAAACAGCCGACTAAGCAATATGTCTGCAATGAATAAAAAATACGAAGCTATGTGTACTGTATC